AACAATTTATTTACAGAGAAATAAAAGATCAAATGTCTATTCACTCTTCTCGAAATTCATTCTGTTCCTGCTATTGTGTAAAAAATAAAAATATCCCTGTTATTTGCACCGTTCTGCACCATTTTGCACCACAATAACAATCAGTGTTTTTATTAATACTTTTCTAGTAGTATTAGTAGCAGAATGTTCCTGTCGAATTAGATAGAAAATATTTTAAAAATATGACAATTTCTTGAATATTGCCTCATGTATCCACATTTACCAAAAACTTTTTTCATTCTTTCAAATTCTATCGGAGCCTCTTTTCATATTCTATTTAAGTTTAGCTTTTATTTATTAAAAACTCCGAATGGACGACAATATAGCATGAAAAGCCTCATTGTTTCAATTCATTTAAGAATTCAAATATTTGAAAAATTTTAATAATTTTTCCTTATCTTCATTTTATATTTTATTCATGACATTATTTTTGCTTTTGCAAATTCTTTTATCGCAAAATTTATATGCGTGCCTGTAGGAGAATAAAATTTATATTTTGCCTTGAATTCTTAACAAAATAACAAATAAGATCAGGTAACTTAATACCGTTAAAGGATAAATATATATAAAAATTGATTATTTTTTTTTTTTCTTTTTCACTTAACATTAAATAAATTTCGTATTCAAATACAATATTTAACGATCCATCAATCATTTTCTATATATTTCTTTTTATAGTAGTTGTTGTTGTTGTTGTTTTGATTTTTTTCATCTTTACAAATACATCAAAGTTTATTCATATTTAAACATCTCATATCCTTGATGATGATTGTACAAAAATATTTTTGTATTCCTTTATATTCATTGAATTTTTTCTTTCTTAGAAAGTTTTCCTCTTATTTTTTTTTTTCAAATTTAGATTTTAAATTCTTTTGTAAAAAAATATAAAGATAAATTCTTTTTTTAACCAAAATAAAATTAAAATATATTGAGGGGAATAACATACATACAATGAAAATAATAAGGATTTTTTCTCAATTTAATTAAAAAATTCAAATATTACACATGTGGTGGAAAATATAATTTTAATGTATATATATAATCCGGAATGTGACAAAAACTTGCTGAAATATTAAAAGAATTTTCTTGGAAAAAAATAAAATATTAAAGTAAAAATTGGAATTTCAAGAAAAAGAATATGAGAATATAATTGCATAGACATAGGCGGATATCTAAAGAAATATATTATTGCGCAGAGTTTCGAACAATGTTTTTTTCTCATTAAATTTGGCTATATTTAAATTTCAGTTTATTAAAATTTTGGAAATGATTGTGGTAACAAAAATAATTTTTGTCATAAATAAATATTTTTTACTTTTGAACCATGAGAAGGGCTGCTAATTTTAAGCTTCTCCTTAAGTTTTTTTTAAGTTTTACATTTCGTTAACATTTGAGGACCATTGTTTCCACAAATATAACTACCGCCCATATATTTGTACTTAATTAATTTTCCAATAAAATTTAACAGCTTTTAATTAAAAAATTTTTTAATAATTTACATAACATTTTTTTTTAAATATTGGAGAATTAATTATGTTTTAATTAAATTATTTCAGTGAAAAAATTTATTTTCAATAAATTTAATTCTTAAAATATTTTTTACATATAGATATTTTAATATTTTCAATAAATTTTCCAATTAAAGTTTCTGAATTCTTAACTATTTTAAATAATTTATTCATGAATGATATTTTAAATTCCATGGATACGAAGGTCATGTCGATAGTACGTTAAAACAAAATTCAAATAATTTAAAAGAAAATCAATTCCATCGCAATTGGATTTGCACAGAATTATAATTTTAAAGGTCACGGTACAATTTCGAAATTTAAATTTGTGTGCTTGGAAATTTGCAACACAAAAAAATTTTTTTAACCACTTCGCAGTTTCCATATGACAAAATTTTTATTGCAAAGTTTAAATTTTGATCAATACTTTTTCAGTAATACAAAAACTAATTATGCTTACATGAATAAAATAAAAAAAAAGTTTTAAATTAGTATAAAATTAAGTTCGCCTTATATTTACAAATCCAATTAATTTTAAATTCCAAAAGATATTAAACGTTTATATTAAAAATAAAAACCGAAAATTTGAATTCGCCTCAAAAAATTTTGATTTGAGGCGAATTACTTCAATTCGCTTCAAAGTTTTTGGACTTGTTTTTACAAAGTTTTCATTCTTTTAACACAATTAAATTAAAAATTTGAACTGATCTTTTGAATTTTGTATCCCTTTACACCGTATCCTTTTAACAATAAAAAAGATTTAAATAAAAAAGAACGGTTCTTATCGAAACAATCTAAATATTTGTCAACAAATATTGAATAAAATAAAATAATCTTTTGAAGGGACTTCCGTAACAAAGAGTCTCCAGAAAGCAATCACACCAAAAAAAATGAAAGAAAAACACAAAAATTAATAACAATTTAAGTAGCGAAAATAATAACACGGTCCATTTATTTTTCAAAAAGAAGAAAAATAAGCGAAACAAAACAAAATTGTCTTCTTATGTACCAATTCTTTTTCCGCCTTTGTAAAGGAAAACTTTAAACTGGTGTATAAGTAGAAAATTTCTTCCTGTTTCAAAAAAAATAAAATAATTTCCATTTAAAAATTCAAAAAGTGTTTTAAAACTCCTATAAATGTCCAACAAAAAACAGATATTGAAATAAAAAAAAACAAAAAAAAAAGAAAATTTAATTTGTGCGAACCACCATAAAAACTTTGACTATTACATTCCTCTTACAAATATACTTGTACATATTACATTGTTCCTCGTATATAACAAAACAGAAATGACAGCAATTTGGATGAAATAAAAATGTCAAATTAAACTTGACATCCTTTGTCGTGGCTTGTACGTATATAATTATATATATATAAATGTGTGTTTATGTGTTGATTTGTATATATAAAAAAAAGTATTTTCATTTAGATTAAATTAAGCGGATCGTCTCTACTTTTCTATACTTATTAAAAATTCTCAAATATGGAGAAACAAGGGTCTCTCTTCGCTAATTATATACGTTAAAGTTGTTTGAAAATAACTTCACGTAAATCGAATAAATCAAATATAAGAAAAATATGTTAAGTCTTAAAAATTTGAATAAAAACCACTGGCAATAGATTCCTAATAGCTATGGGTCCATTATTTTAATTATAATCTGTGATTCTGGTTCTTATCCCTGTAAATTCAAACCCTAATTTCAAATTATACTCTCTATTTCCAATAAAGTACAAAAAAAGGATTTATGTTAGAGTAATTTACTAAAAATTTAATTGCGTTCTTTTCCTAAATGATTCAAGTGTTGGTTTCTCTGCCAAATTCTAGAACCTTGTCAATTGCTTTTTCTTCTAGGATGATATTTTTCCTGCTTTAGATGAAGTCGTTGAAACTTAATGATTTTTAATACCGTAATAGGTTTGGCTTCAATAACTTAATTGGATGAAAAATTCTTCTCATCTAAAGCAGGTAAATGCTTTTTAAACTGCATATTTTTTTATGTATGCGTCTAACAGTATACTCAAAACTTTATTTGATAATAAGGTTAATAATGTTCGAGTGACAAAACTAAAGAGCGAAGTTAATCTAAAGAGTCAGGATTCGGAAACAATAATGTAATTAATTTAATTAATGATTTTGCATTAACCTGGTCATCTAGTTAAAAATTTTCGCATACCAGAGTGCCACTATTTTTAGATTGTTTAGTATTCTTTAATCATTCCTAAAATTAGTATTCAACCATTTAAGATTTTTATTTCTTAATTTAGAATTAAACTGAAATCTACAAAGTTTCTCCGCGAATGCTTTCCATTGTATCGTTTTTCTCTTAAACATATTGGATTGTATACCTAAAAAACACGTACGTCATTTTAAATTTAATATCCCAGTATGACATATCAATTATGACACACTCAATTTGAATTATTTTGCATATCATCAGAAGCAATTAAGAATATGTAACACTATACAGCGTCGCAAGCATATTGTCAAAAATATAAATGACAAACTTGTGTAATAATTTTATTTTTTTCTTTATCCAAAAAAAATTTTTTTTTCTTATTGTACAATGTATGAGGGACCATCATTTTTTAGTCTAGAAATGAGGCAATCAAAAGTCAGCAATAAAATAATAACAATGATAACAATATCCAAAATCTAATTGTAAAGCTAGCCTGTCAAGAATGTTCATCGTCCAATTACTTTTCCAATTTTGAATAGAAAATAAAGGACCCTTTAATTCCGTCTCACTTATTTTGATTCGAGAACTCTCCTTTTTTTCTCTCAGTCATTGCTTTTATTGTCTGTCTGCATTTTTAATGTTTTTTAAATTTTATTTGGTTCATTTTCTTGCAAAAGGATTTCAAAAATGTTTATATAAACGATTTGCAAATTCCAAAAATAAAGAAACCTTTTTGTACTTGCGATTCTATTTTTTTTTTTGTCAATCAAAAAATTCTTGTAAAAAAAAAGGGTTTCTGCTTTATAAAGAATGTTTTTTTTTTGATATTTGATTGATGCGGAAATGAGTTATCTTTTATGATGGCACAACATTATTTAAAGTGTTTCCGTTTTATGAAATTTTTCAGCGAAAATTTGTTAAAATAAAAAAATTTGTAAAAATTATTTGGGAAAATTTTCAAAGTAATTTGCTAAAAATTTTTGAATTCTGAACAAAACCACTAAGAATAAGTTAGCAATACAGTCCAACACTTCCATTTTCTTCTAAAACTTAGATCTTAAATTAAAATCTCTTAGATTGCTTAGATCTCAAACTAACAAATTATATTAAAATTTTATTTAAATTTATAATGAATTTGTTTCATTTAATGTTATTAAGAATATTATGCAAAAACCTTTCTCAGGTCACAAAGCACACTAAAATTTTTAAAAGAATTCATTGTAAATTTAGCCTTTCTTTTTATTAATTTGAAATTTTTCTTTTTTATATTTCCAGATATAAATGATTTGATTCACCATAACTATTTTAGAAATTTAAGCAAAACTACAAAATAAAATCGAAATTAATAAAATATAAATTATTAAAAATTTACACTTTACATAATTGACGACCTATATTAAACCAATACCGAGCCCATCATGGGAAAGAAATTCTTTATATTCTTACAAATTCTCTGCGTAATAATTCATACGATTGACATTATTAATTGTCAATCATATCAAGATAATCAGTGCCTAAATATTACTGGAAATAATGGTGTACGGGAAATCGAATGTCCATATGAAAGACCAGTAATACAAGTTGAAATATCAGATTCCACCCAATCATTATCAACAGCATCAACATCAACATCAATAATAAATAATTCAAAAAATCGTAAAATTAAATTACAAATACAATGTGTTCTAAATATGAAACCAGAAAATTATTCTTTATTACCAAATATCAATACTGGTGACATATATGAAGTTGATTTTAAAAATTGTGCATTACCATTGGGTACACCAATTGTTAATATAATACGACGTTTTGGTAATCCAAATGTAATAAGATTTAAATTTCTTGCTAATCAAGATGAAACAATTTTACCAATACATTTAAAAGATTTAAATGAAATCCAACGATTACAATTGAAAAATGTTGTTTTCCCAAAATCATCAGATGATTTATTTGCCAATTCAACAAAATTACAATGGATGGATTTACGTTATACACATGCAAATAATATACATAAAGATACATTTAAACCGTTAGTAAATTTAAGAACATTAGAACTGGGTGGCTCTAAATTAGAAGAATTGTCACCGGGAATGTTTTCAAGTCAAAAGAACCTAATTAAATTAAATTTATGGGGTAATAGTTTAAAAACTTTACCAAAAGCTGTATTCGAAGGTTTAATAAATTTAAGTGATTTAGATTTAATGTCAAATGAGTTTGAAACGTTTGATACAGATTCATTTTCATTATTAAAAAATTTATCAAATATTAATTTAAGTGGAAATTATTTAAAATCATTACCAGAGAATTTATTTGAAGAAAATAAATTATTAACACTTGTTCGTATTCAATCAAATCGAGCTGATCTAATTGAATTACCAAATCGATTGTTTTCAAATTTAACAAATTTAACAAATGTTACATTACGTAAGGATGGAATACGGATTTTACCAGGAGATTTATTTAAAGGCTCAACAAATATTCAATTTTTAGAAATTGTTGAAAATAATATTGAAAATTTACCAGCTGATTTATTTGAAGATCAAATAAATTTAATTATGTTAAATTTGGCAAATAACAAATTAATTGCAATCGATGATTTTACATTCAAAAATAGTCAAAAATTGAAAACTTTAGATTTATCTAACAATGAATTGGAAACGTTATCAATGTAAGTATTTTTTTGGTTTCTTGTAAAATAAAATAAGTGTGTATCAAAATAGCAAATGATTCATACAACACCGTCCATAATACAAAGGCTTAATTGACCTTATTCTGCTAATAATCAAGAATGATCTGTTATATCCCTTGTAACTTGAAATTTTCCTAATTAATTAATTCGCTAGATATTCTTAGAACATAAACTTCCTTTTCTTTCAAATTTAAATTGAATTTTTAAAACATTTTTCTTTTCTTTATTTTTCAGCTTTGCTTTTAAAGGACTTCATAATCTGGAGAAACTTGAACTATACAATAACAAATTGGTTAATTTCGCACCTGAGACAATGGAACCACTAATTAATCTAAAAGAAATTTATTTACAAAATAATCTTTTAACATTTAATTTCGATTTTAACCGTGGTTCACCATTAACCAAATTATCAAATGTTCAAATAATTAATTTACACAATAATAGTATAACAGGAATATATCCAGATTGGTATTCAGCTTTATTATACTTGAATTTATTGGATTTAAGTTATAATAAAATAAAGACGATAACACAAGAAGATTTACAATTTACAAGACCCAATTTGGCATTGAATTTAAGTCATAATGAAATATCGGAAATTAATTTTGATCGAATCAATGAACAACTTGAAACTTTTGCACTTTCTGATTCAGTAATTACAATTGATGTTAATTATAATCCGTTAAAATGCAATTGTGACACAGCAGCATTTGGTAATTTAATAAATAATTTGAGCTCATATGAAGCTATTGGAAAGCATTTACAATTTAAATATGATAAATTAATGTGTGGTTACACTCCTGATAATTGGCCATATAATCTAACCGGACGAAATATAATTGCAATAAACTCATATGAATTAGTTTGCCCACAAAAATCACCGTGTCCTAATAAATGTTCATGTTGGTTCCGTAGCTTTGATCGTAGCATTCTAGTAAATTGTTCAAATTCTGAATTAACGGAAGTTCCAGTACTATTTAATACATCATCTAGAGCTATTGAATGGATAGAATTGCATATTGAAAATAATCATATCAAAAATTTACCAACTCTAAGGAATATCGGTTACGGCAGAGTTCAAGAATTGTATGCACAAAATAATGAAATTGTTGGTTTAAAACCCGATAATATACCAAGATCTTTAAGAATTTTAAATTTAGCTAATAATCGTTTAGATATTATGAATGAAACTGTATTACATGTCATTAACAAAACACGTTCCATTAATAGTATTTCATTAGCTGGTAACCCATGGAAATGTAATTGTCAGACAGCAGAATTTGTTTTCTTTGTTCAATCACAACTTCATATTATGAAAGATGTAAATGATTTAAGATGTGAAGATGGTAAACGAATTGCAACACTTACATCAGTTGATATTTGCTCTAATGATTATAAATTAATAATTGCTGTTTGTGTTGTCTTGGTTTTATTAGCAATATTCATTGGAGCTATAATTGCATTATATTACAAATATCAGTTAGAATTTAAATTATGGTTATTTGAACATAATTTATGTTTGAGTCTTATAACAGAAGAAGAACTTGATAAAAATAAAAAATATGATGCATTTATTTCATATTCACATAAGGATGAAGCATTTGTGACAGATGAGTTACAACCAAATCTTGAAAATGGACAACATCCATTTAAATTATGTTTACATATGCGTGATTGGGTACCAGGCGAATGGATACAAAATCAAATTCAAAATTCTGTTGAAGATTCACGTCGAACAATTGTTGTATTATCGAAAAATTTCTTAGAATCAATATGGGGACAAATGGAATTTAGAACAGCACATACAGCTGCATTAACAGAAGGAAGAGCACGTGTTATTATTATTATTTATGGTGATATCGGTGATGTTGAAAAATTAGATCCAAAATTAAAAGCATATTTAAAAATGAATACATATGTTAAATGGGGTGATCCATGGTTTTGGAATAAATTACGTTATGCTATGCCACATCCACAAAATCTTAGATCAATAAAAAATAAAACAAAAGGTTTATGTAAAACAACAGTTAAAAGTTCAACAGACGATAAATTAGAATTAATAAAACCAGTATCAGCAACACCACCAATGACATCAACACCACCAGCTAATTCAGCATGTACTAATCCATTAATAGCACAATTAACACCAACACCAAATGGTAATATACCACCACCATTAAATATTAATGGTCAAATAATAACAAAACAATATACAAATGGCATCATTAATAATGGTATCAATTCAAATTTATTTCATCAAAATTCACAACAGCAACAACAACATAATAAATCATTATCATTAAATACAAATGGACATATTAATGGTGCCTTCGTTATAAATACAAATTCAAAACAAAGTGATGTATAGAATTACGCAAATTTATCACCTAAATTTTTAAGTGATAATTATAATAGGAAAAAGAAAAAATTTATATTTAAAAAACGAAATATTTTCCCATTTCCTTTTAAAACATCACCAAAATCATTATTATCATTATCGAGTAAAAATATTGGAACAGCAACAGCAACAACACAAGATAATTTAAAAATTACATCATCTAAGACTACACCTACAAATTTAAATAATAATAGTAATAATAATTTAGTAAATAAATGTGACTTACAAAATAAAAATAATGATTTAAAATTAAAAAAATTATTTAGTACATCAGATGATTTTAGTAATAATTATAATAATATTATTAAGTTAAAAAGAAAAAATTTTATATTTTATTACTTAGTGTTACCGTTTCGACGCAAATCAAAATTAAATCAATATGAATTGATGTGAAATTAATTATTAAAAACAATAAACCTTAGTACTCAATTTTATTTTTTAAAGAAAATATAATTTTTCAAAAAAAACAAAAGATATTAATAATTACCATTTCTTTTTTGGTCAGTAATTCACGAAAAATATAATTACAAATAATTTCAACCTTATTTAATTTTGAATTTTGATTTAATTAACAAATTATTATTATTTTATTTAATTTCATTAAGTAAACTTCTTGGCAGACAGAGTTGCCAGAATAAAAATCTTCCAGCAACATAAATAAAAAACACATTCGGCTTATTTTCTAATTACAAAACCACTAATAAATTCAAATTTATTTGAATGAATCTCTTTACAAAGATTTTTATTTTAATATTAAATTTTGCCATGAAATAATTTAAAATTTTATTTTTCTCGAATATTTTATTAACAAATCCAAAATTTTTTATCTCATTTTCGAATAACTTTAAAAAGATAAAAAGTAAAACAACAAAACTTATTAATTATTACACTCTATTTTATAAAAAGGAAAGCCAATATTGAGGTTATGTATAAAATAATAAAATGTCACATTAAATAAATTCTCATAAAATAGAAAACGATTGTAATTTGTTATAATTTAAGCAAAAAATTAAAAAAAAAAATAAATTTTTATTACTTTAATTTAAGGTTTTCAAAAAAATATAATTTTATTTTTTAATTAATATATTATAATATTTTTTATTAAAAGGAAATAAATGTAAAATTATTGTAAATTAAAAAAAAATAAATTAATAATAAAAATAATATGTAAAAAAAATATTAATCTCAAGTAATTTTTTTTAATATTATTAAATAGCAAAATAACAAAATAAATTTCAAAAATAATTTATGAAAATATATTTAAAATTTTATTTTGAAAAAAGAGCATTTTAACTTTTAAGCATTCAAACATACATGCAATTGAAAATAAAATTTAAATAATTTTTTTTTTAATTAAACACAAGACAATTAAGTGCAAATTAATGCAAAATTTTGCAATTTATAAAAATAAAATAAATTTTGAATTTTATTCAACCACATAATAGCAACGGGTTCAAAATTATTGCATAACGAATGTATTTACTACTGTTAAATAGATGGCGCTCTTGCTCTTGCAGTCATTTTGTAAAATTTTTTTTACCAATTTTTTGTATGTTATTTATTTCATTTTTGTATATTTCATTCAATACTCGAAACCTTTAGTAACAAGACTGAAGTAATAAAAAATCTACATTCAATGCAAAGTACACATACTTTTTGCTCAATCATTTTGACAAGTACAATAAAAAATAATTGATGTTTAATGCAGAGTTGCCGTATAAAACAAACAATGAAAAAAATACTTTTTCACTCAAATAAAATAATTATAAATTTTTTTTTTAATTTTCATTATACTTATTGTCATATTTAAATTTATAAACAATTAAATAATAAAATTTTGTGATTTTCATAATAAAGAAAATAGTAAATATTTTAAAAATTTCCCCTACGCATATGCAATATTATATGTCTGTAATGCTTAAATTTATTATTATATTATTACAAAATACAAAATAAATATTTTTAATATGTACATAACTATAATTATTACACAAAAATTTATATGTGAAATTCAAATTACTTTAACACTATATAAATGACTGGTAAATTTAATATAATATAGAAAGTAAATTAAAATAAATACCATTCACTAATATCAATAAAATAATTATAAAATTTTAAATAAATAAAAAAATAACTTAAAATTTAAAAAAAAAAACACACTAAATGATTATATTTTAATATAAAGGAGAATAAAAAAAAAATTATACACATTCATACATGCATAAAATATACATGTAAAATTAAATTAGATAGGATAACCAAAATAAAGTAAAATTGTAAATTAAAAGAAAAAAATGCGAATATTTAATGATTATTAAATAATTAATTTAATAATTATTATATAAAATCTACATGTATATATATACATATATATATATATATAATTAATTTTAAGAATATAATAGTGATAATGGTAAAATTCACGCACCAATTGCTCATATAAAAATTTTTCTTTTAAAATATTTTTTGTTTTTTTTTTTTTTTGTAATTTTTTTAATTTTCAATTGAAAGTTGTATGTGAGTATGCAATTTACATAATTAAAAATATCATGATTTATATACATACATATATGTTGTCTTGTTTGATTGATTATTAATGAGAAATTGATTGTTAATTGAAAAATGTTTAGCGGTCCTCCTCAATATATTTCATATAAACATAAATTAATCCGAATTCAATACCAAATTCGATGGTAATAAACGAATCGAAATTTTCAAAATGTACATAAAAATTTTCTTGCTTAACCCTCATACGCCGTTCAAAAATAATAACACATAATAAATTCAGGGGTCGAAAATCCCTTACTAACTTTTTATTTATAAAGAACATAAAATACTCATTTCATGTTGTTAACTTTTTTTTTGAAACATTTAAATATCTCCAAGGATACTCCCTCGGATTTAAACTTAATATGCAATAATTACACTAAAAGCATATTTTATTTTGAAAATATCTCATAATTTTGATTTTTAAAATTAATTAATTTGTTTACTATACAAATTTCAATTGAAAATTATTTAATGAAAAAAGAAAAAACACATTTTTTTAATTAACCTTAACAATGCTGGGGTTAAATAATTTTATAGCGTTTACATTATTATATTTTCAGAAAATTATGAAATAAATTTATATTAAAATTATTTAAATTTACATGAAAAAATTTTTATATTTTTAAATTTTATAATAAAAAATTAAAAAAAAAAATTAAAGTTCACAAGAATTTATTTTAAGTTTAATATTAAATTTAAAGATGATTTAAATTTAGATGATTATGTTATTTTTAATGTTAAATAATTATTTTTTAATTAAAATTCAAAATATAAAAATTATTGCTGTCCTAAATTGTTAGAATTATATACAATAATTTAATTTAGATAATGTGCAAAATAAGTTTTTTTTTTTTCTAATAAAAAAATTATTCAAAAAATAATAATTAATTTATTTTTAATTCATTTGGAACTGTAGAATTTAAATTACCCAATAGGGCGAGTAAATAAAATAAAAAAATATTCAAAAAAGCATATTCTTCAATATTAATGCCCTTATTGTTCGAAAAACCTTCAATATTAATGCCCTAATTATGAAACTTTTTCTTCATTTCTTACTTCCTTAATTATTAAAGAAATTACTTATTACAGAAATTCTTCATTTCTTACTTTGCTATTGTTACATCAAATCATCTAATTCGAAGGGCTTATATGCGGCTCTCAGCCTCCTTCTTTTAATTAGGACGTTTCTACTCCCATTTTCACGTTAATGAATTTTTAAATTAACGTCAATTATTTAAAATTTGAGCCCCGTTCTCTCTTTTCCACAAATTTTATTTTTAACATCAATGGTTTTCGATTACTTAATTTGTTACAGTGGTTCAATTTGTTAGATTAATTTACAAAACTCATATTATGTATTCAAAGTCCATAATGTTACTCATAGATAACACAAACTACACAAGATAGCACTGAAATGAAATTATGCGTATTTATTACCAATAGATGGTTTTCCTGGTACACTTTTTACTAAGCGTTTTGTTAATCACAACCATTTTGTAGAGCTAGAATTTAGTTTTGTTATGCAATTTGGCTAGCAAAAAAAATTCATCCCTTAAAAATGTCAATATTTGCGCTACATTAAGAAATTTTATGCGAATCACTTCGGCAGTAGTACTTTGTGGTTTTACTCTATACTTGAGGGTATACTATTAAGAAAAACACAAACAATGCTACACTCTTTGCAGAACGAAAAACTGTTGATTAAAATAAAAAATATTGAATTAATGATAAACTATGCATAGGTAACGAAGGTCAGAGGAAACCATTTTACAACTATTTTAAATTTCCTCCAAATGACATTTACTTCATTTTCCATTTTTATTAAAATTTTATGCATAATATTTAATATCTTAAATTAATCCTAATGAAAATTGAAAACTTCAACTAACCTTCATTCATGTATTTACACAACCTTTGACAAATAATAAAAAAAATGTACAAAGAAAAGATAACTGTTTTATCGTATGTTAAAATTAAAGCAAACGCATCAATTTATGTAGTGTTGTTATGCAGTTTCTATCTGGAATTTTCCTGATATATGTGCATTCTCATACTCGTATAGAAAAAACACAATTGTACACAGTGTGTTCAAAGTTTAACAAAATGAAAATTAATTTTACTTTGAAGAATTATTAGAGCATAAAATTTTAATCAAATAAGTTGTGTAAGGTAACTGTAACTTAATAATTAAATTCAAATCAGACTTACGAGTAAGTATTGCATTATGAATCAACAATTCATTTGAAAAAGGATTCGAACATGAAAATGCTGGAAGTCTACCATTTTTAAAAGCACCCAATATTTTGAATTGAACACAATTTATACTATGAAATCTACTGTAACTATGAAAACTTAAAAAATCTTTTCCTTAAGTTTGTAACAAGTGTTAGTATCAAGTTAGCATCACATGAAAAAAACTTCAAATTTCGTTTAAAATTGCATGTACAGGAGGTAAAGACACACCCAATAAGTGAATACAACGCCGGATATATCTACGTATTATAAATTTTTCTACTTCATATTTTAATTCATACGAGTTTAACAGAACGCTTCATTTGAATTTAATAATTCTGGTATAAACTGAGCTATGCGGCTAGAAATTGAACTATAAAATATTTGATTTTTTTTGAAAAATTTGAATTTTAATTGGATTGTAAAGCCATTCTTTAGCCTGGGTTGAGGCTTAGATTTCGGAAAAAATAATAATTTCCAAAAGATAAAAATACTTTATATGCAATTAATCTCGTAAAAAATAATCAATTATATGAAAGTTTAATTTTCTACTAAAATAAAAGTTCAAAATTCTTAAAACACTATCTAGAAGTATTCTTGTCTCTTACTATATACAATTCTTGGTACTTATATTCATTAATTTTCATTATACAACAGTTATAATAGTAATTCTTGACAGTTTGCTTATTGGACATCCTATGAATTAAAATTACGTACATATAGAAAATTTCCAAAATAAATTACATTTGTAAAATGTATAAAAGG